ACACTTAGAAAATCTACAAGAAATGTCATACACATCAAAGGCATTCGAACAAATACGAAAAACGAGCATAAAACAACATGCAAACAACGAGCGCACACTTAGAAAATCCATGATAAATATATTTAACAAAAGCGGGCACCAGCCCAATAGTCAATAGTACAAACACCGGCACGCAGGCCACAAAACAACGAGCACGCAGGCCCGGCAACCTACACTTCCTCATCAGCTCGGTCAGCAGCCACGGTTTCCTCGTCGGGGATAACGAAATAAGGATCGATCACCCTTCCATCAACGATCTCGTGGTACGGCCCTATCCCGTCCACGACCAGCTCGACACCAGGGTTGGCGACCTGAATCTGCTCGACCGCATTCTTGAACCCGACCTCAACGGCTTCCAGACAATCGCTCTCCAACACCCGGATACGGGCGATCAAGTCAGCACGGGTGATTAAACGCCGATCCCCCTCAGTCTCGTCCTCGGCCGGACGAACAGCGCTGTCCAGAACCTCAGTACGAACCTTCAGCGCCTGCACCTCGGCCGTCGCCATCCCCAGCTTCTCTTCCAGCGAACTCACCTTCCCCTCAGCACCCTCTGCTCGTTTCCGCTCCTCGGCAACGTCCTTCTGGCTCTTCTCCAACTCCTCAGTGAGCTTGGCCAACCGCGACTGCGTAAAGGTGAGATCCCCTTGCAGTTTGGACAGCTCAGCAGCAGAGCAGCCCTCCTCGTTCAGCACGAGAGCCGTCGTAAACGTCCGCATCATCGCGGCCAAGTCCTCAGCCAGGACACGCCGACGGGCCTCCCGATCAGCCTGGCGAACAGCCTTCACCTCCCCGGCGGAAACGGTGGGGGAACGGGCACCATGAAAATACCCCGGGTGCTGGTGGCAGGGAGGGACGACATAACCTTCCTCGACGGCGCCGACCGTCAGATCCACCACCCGAGGCTCCTCGGACCTCTGCCTCTTCGACACTCCTTGGGACACAGGGGATTGGCTCTCTTGAGGCGACGAGGACGAAGTTTGGCCCCCCTGCGTCGCGACCTCCTGACTGACCAGCTGACTCACCCTCGTCCTCGGGACCCCGGCACTCCTGGCAGCACGCAACTGCTTCACCCGCTCGTCGACAGTAGACATGTTCGCTGCAAAAACAAAGAAATAGGTTAGCGACGATCAAAAACCCCGACAACGAGGGAAAACGAAACATCCCTACCTAGATAATCTAGAGCGGCCGCCCCGGTCGCACAGCCGAGCAAAGTCTTAGTATTTATCAAACGCTTTTTAGTGCGTACGTTCCCCTGGGCATCGAGGATGTACCGACCGTCGGGCGTCACCAGCTTCGACGGGGGAAGTGACCGCACAAAGGCAATTATTTTCAGATAAGCGGCCATGTCCTTCTCCTCGAGGGTTCCCGCCCGGACGATATACCTATCCGTCCCTCGACTGAAATGCTCCGAGGTCCACAGCAGATGTATCTTGGGAAGCCACGCTCGGAACCACTGGCCATCTACCGTGCGCTCGCCCTCGTCAAAGAGAGTGTCCGAGCCGTGCTGCGTGATCGGTTTGACGAGGTAGAACCGACCCTTGAAGTCTTTGACAGAATCACTGTACGCTTTAAAAATTTTGGTCGATTGTTTGAAAGAGACCCATCCGTGACGACCTCGCACCGTCTGCCGCTGCAAATGAAAGATGCGAAAGAACAACGGCACCGTCGGCTCCACCGAGAGGTAGAAACACACCACCTCGAAAGCCCGGATGAAAGCCAGAGCGTTCGGGTGCAGCTGAGACGGGGCAAGACGCAGCCAGTCAAAAATCCCCAGATGGAAGGCAGAGAACGGCAACCGGAGCCGAGCTTCTTTAAAATAAAATTCATACATCGGGAACATCTTCCGCCCATAGCGCGAACAGATCCGATGGTGCGCTTTCGGGCGATACACCTGCCAGTGTTGCGTTTCTCCTAGCGGCGTGTCCTCGACCGTGGCATACACGTCGGACGGGTCGACCACAAAACAAGAAGGGATGGTAAGTGGCTCCTCGGCCGCCCACTCCTCGGGCAAGGAGACGCGCCCGTCGTCATACTCCGGGACCTCGGGTTCATCATCTTCAACCATTATCCCCGGCACCAGAGCCGACATCTACACCTGAAAGCAGAGGACCTCGGTGAATTCGATAGCCAGGATCAAATCCACCCTTCCACCGCAAGTCAAGTGAAAGGGCGACAAAGGCCGAGGGGCGGCGAGCAGACATTCGCTCCCCGCCTACCCTCCTCGGGGATCGAAGAACGACCCCTCAGCCCTTCGGGGCGGCCGTCGGAGAAGATACTTCTCCCCGGGGCAGTCATCAGAAAAAGCCCCCGTCCTCGGGGCATTCATCGGAGAAAAGCCCCCGTCCTCGGGGCATTCATCGGAGAAAAGCCCCCGTCCTCGGGGCATTCATCAGAAAAAGCTCCTGTCCCCGGGGCATTCATCGGAACTAGCCTACCGTCCCCGGGACATTCATCGGAAAACTCGCCAGACGCGGCGGAACTCGCATCCCTCCTCGGGGCGCTCATCGCGCCCCGACCACACGTCCCAGTTAGACGACGAAAATAAAAGAGAGGGAGAAGAGGAACTCACTTGTAACGGCGGCGGACGGAAGAAAAAGCGAATGGCACGGCGTTGATCGGCGGCGAACGGCGGACGGGCAGAGACGATGAAAGATCAACAGGGAGAAAAGTAGCAGAATGAGCGGGGACCGCCATATTTATAACCCGGCGCGAGGCTCGAAGCGACCCTAGGCTCATTAATGACATAGGTTAGCCGCCCCTACGACCGCTCAACGCAAGACACGTGGAAGCAGCCTGACAGTCGCGTCTCTCCATCTGCCTCCTCCCCGTTCTACCGACGACCGGAGCCCTTCGCACGAGTCCCCCGCTCCAGACATGACGACCTTAAGTCCTCGCTCTTCCCCAGAGCTTCGACTTGGGGGGCTCCTGTTCCGGTGTGGGCCTCACCTCGGCAGGCCCAATACCAAATACGGCCCAACAGGCGAACTGAGCACACCTGGCACACGCCCCTTCGGACGAGCAGGACCGTCCGCCGGGCACAAGCCATCACGCCGCATCCCCTTCGTCGTCCGTCACACCAGACGAGCGAGACTACCCGGGCTCCCTCCGCGGGAGAATAACGTGCTCGGCGCACGTTCTCCACGTGCTCCCCTCCGCGGGGACACGTCACCGGCCAACCGCCCACCTCCGAAAGAGCAGGTCAAACCCACTTTCCGGAGACCTAGGAGCGGTTGAACTAGGGCGAAGACCACGTCCTGGTCTTCACTACGCCACGTAAGCCCTAGCAGTCATTAGGGTTGGGCCTGGTCGCCCGGCCCACCTCGAATGACCGTTGGCCCAGCGCTGGGGTCTCTCTATAAATACCCTCTTCTTCAAGAGGGTCAGGTAACTCTTCTTGCCCCCTTTTCTGTACTATTGCTTCCTCTCAGTCCAACTTCTTACTTGGGCGTCGGAGTGCTTTGCAGGTACACCCCCTCCTCGTTCTTACCTCGGCGAACAGATAACCGTCCGGCGAAGCGTGGCCAGTCCGTGATCCCTCCTGATCAGGTCAGATCATATATATATATATATATATATATATATATATATATATATATATATATATATATATATATATATATATATATATATATATATATATATATATATATATATATATATATATATATATATATATATATATATATATATATATCATAAAAATTAATTCAAATTTAAATAAACTTAATAACAAATTTTGATATTTAGAGAGATTGTATTTGTCTATTTTAACATTTTTTAAAAATGATTTTTATAGTGTAATATAATTTTGTGTAATTTTTTTAATAAAAACATTAAATAAAAATTTAGTTTGAATAATTATTATTAAAATATTATTTTAAATATTTATTATTCTATTAAAAAATTAATATTAAATTTTTTTAAAATTACTTAATTTTAAAATTGTTTCAAATAGATTTTTATAAAAATCAATTTAAAGATACACCTTTTAAAAAAAATGCGATTTCAATTATTTTTTATCTTCAATAATATATGTTTATATCATATATGTTTATGTTATAAAATTTTAAAATTAGTGTTTTATTTTAAAAAAATAAATATAAAAAATTTATAATATTTTAAAAATTAATTTTGTAAAATCTATTTTTAAAAATATAAAAAAAAAGTAATTTTTTTAAGCTGAAACAAAAAGTCACATACCTAATAACAAAACTGATTTATCTTTTTGCTAATACAATTGATCCTTTAATTTCTCCAAAATCAAACTTCATTAATTAATCTCTTAAGTTTCACCACATTATTGCTCCCACGGTCTTAAATTCAGTGATTTGTTTGTATGAGTAATTTGATTTAAAATAAATAATATTTTAATTTATAATACTATATTCTTTTTTAATTGTATTTTCTAGTTAATAATACATCTATTATTTCCAATTTAATATATTTCACTTTATATTTATTAAAAAAGTAAATATAGTAATATACTAACACATAAAAAAATATATTAGAAAAATACTTTTCCTTTTTTTATCTTTCATTTATAAAATTTTCTTAATCTATAAGAAATTGTCAAATAAATCAATTAGTCCGAAATGTAAAAAAAATTCTCACATGGTAAAAGACATGGAAGCAAGGTTTTTTTTAAACACACAGTTTCTCATTTTTTATCATTATAATTAGAACCATGGAAAATACTAAATAAAAGATTCTACTAAAAGTATTAAAAAATATAATAAAAAATGTAAAATAAAAATTTTAATAAAAATAATAAGTTTTTATTTTTTTTGGCTTCTTCCCTCATGCCAGCCACACTCAGCGGCTGAGTAGCAGCTCCTCACTTGTCGTTCTCTCTATTTTTCTTTCTCCCTATTTCCCTTCTCTTCCATTCCTCTATTTATAACTCTTATCGTAATTTTAGGAACCATTACTCTCTCTCTGTCTCTCTCGTCTATTCTTCAATGGCAGATCTCAAGTCCACATTCTTGAATGTGTACTCTGTTCTCAAATCTGAGCTTCTCAATGACACTGCTTTCGAGTGGTCTGATGATTCTCGTCAATGGGTTGACAGGGTATCTTATTCCTTTCATCCTTTTTCTTTTTCTTCATTTCTTTTATCAAATGACTCTAATTCAATTATCAAATTTGGAATATAGAAAAAAAAATTGAAATTTTTAGCTTGTTTTTGTAGTGGATATGTTTTGTGTGTTCTAATTTGTTATCCTGAAAGTGATGAATTGGTTTGATTAATTTAGTGGGTCAATAGCAGAGACTCTTCCCAGAAAAGATGTGTTAGTGTTAGTGTCTGTGTCCGATTAGTTTAATTTATTCATTTTTTCAAATTATTATTCGCCTAGATGTGTCAGTGTCGATGTCGTGTTTTAGTGTCTGGTTCGTGGTTCAGAGATTATGTTTTTCTGAGTGGAATTAGACTCGAGTTCGAATATTGTGGATGATATAAATGTGATTTGGTGATGAGCAAGTTTCTTAGGCGGAGATTAGTAATCGGAAAATCAGTGAAAACTTTGCCGCAATGACAAGTTTTTGGAAATAATCAGTAGGTATTAGAATATGTGACATTGTATTGATTTAAGATTGAGAAACTTAATGGTTTCTTTTGTGGCTTTTGTGTGTGAAATTTCAATTTCATTTGCAAGGATAAATCTGTGAAAAATATCTATGAAATGCTTTGCAGTGATCAATGAGTGTTTGAGTTATTTCCTTCCCTTTGTACTTACAACATGGTTCTGTACTTTTGACGCCCCTTTCATGTTTTCATGAAAATTTAACCATAATACTCTGATTTAGCCTACCCATATGCGGCTGCTATTTCTGCTATTTCATTGAAACGTGAAAATGTGTTTTAGCTGTCTCTCTGATTGATTATGTTTTGTACTATAATTTATTGCAGATGCTGGACTACAATGTGCCTGGAGGTAGGATTTGAGTTTTGTTCTTTTTTATGTCTGTAACAAGTGACTTACCGCATGTTTAGATTGACAATGAATAAATCATGGTAACACCAGGATTTTGTAGAAATTCCAAAGTTTATCTTTTGCCAAAATTACTATCAATCTAAACAGTTAGGAGGGGTATCCGGGATAAATTTTTGAAAAATATACATGTTATTGACATAAAGATGCATTATAACTTACATTGCAGGAAAGTTGAACCGAGGACTGTCAGTTATTGACAGCTACAGATTGTTAAAAGAAGGACATGCATTAAATGATGACGAAATTTTTCTTGCTAGTGCTCTTGGTTGGTGTATTGAATGGGTATGGCAATTAAAAGCGTTTGTTTTTCTAGTTTGAAATAAATTCCAACTATTTCACAAGTTTACTGTGGTGGCACTGAGGAATCTTACAATCCTCTTTTGATGAATTTTGCAGCTTCAGGCATATTTTCTCGTTCTTGATGACATTATGGATAACTCCCATACACGTCGCGGTCAGCCATGTTGGTTTAGAGTACCCAAGGTTTGAAGGAAAAGTTAACTTGTACTATCGTGTTATGTTTTTGTTGCTGTTGTGATAAGATAATAACCTCTAATTACTCTATGGTGAAGGTCGGAATGATTGCAGCTAATGATGGAGTTCTACTAAGAAACCATATTCCGCGTATTCTTAGGAAACACTTCAAGGGAAAGCCTTATTATGTCGATCTTCTTGATTTGTTCAACGAGGTGTAGCACAAATCTCAGTGTTTGAATTCTGTGGGTTTCATTTTGCTTATACGCGAAAAAGTGACCGTGTTGATTTTCGATTAGGTTGAGTTTCAAACTGCTGCAGGACAGATGATAGACTTGATCACGACACTGGAAGGAGAAAAAGATCTGTCCAAATACACATTATCACTGTGAGTACAGAAACTATTGCGAAGAAATTATGTTGATCAACCTCTTATGTGAATGTTAGTATTAGAACCATGCAATAAGAAAAACTTGTCTACCAGATAACAGTTTTATGTGATATCCTCTAGTGTCAAAAGGGAGGGTACATATTTGACAATATTTATGGTATAAAATAAGGAATTTCTTGTTATTATGTTATCTCACAGCAATATTTTGTTAATGTATGGGATGCTTGAGATTTATAGAAAGAACAGTGTCGAGTTGTTTTTGGCCGAACATATATGATGTGAAATTCAAACCTTTTGTTTATTAATGTGCTAAGCTTTAATGCAATTTTATATACTTCATTTCCGTTCTTGCCGACTGTCTCTTTCCGTGTTGAAACACAATAATAGCTTCGGCCATCTTGTGCAGGCACCGACGTATTGTTCAATACAAGACTGCCTATTATTCATTTTACCTTCCTGTAAGTTTTATTTCCTACATTTTTGTCATGCCTCCTTAATTTAGGTTTCCCCGTCCTCTTTCCTTGAGATGCCGATGACTAATGGTTCTTGTCCTATTTTCACAGGTTGCATGTGCATTGCTCATGGCGGGCGAGAATCTGGATAACCATGTTGATGTAAAGAACATTCTTGTTGAGATGGGCACATATTTTCAAGTTCAGGTACTTTTGTTAGCATAAGTCTATGTACGTGTTTGTCGTTATCAGCTTGAAATCTCGTGTAAGATATGTATTTTGTATTCATCTCTTTTTCTATCTTGTTCAGGATGATTATTTGGATTGCTATGGTGATCCCGAAACAATTGGAAAGGTCAGCATATACATATACTGGATCATGCCATAGATACTGAAACATCATTTTCTTTTTTATCTCATTTTAGTTATATATGAAACCAGATAGGCACAGATATCGAAGACTTTAAGTGCTCTTGGTTAGTCGTAAAAGCATTGGAGCTTTCCAATGAAAAACAAAAGAAAGTTTTACATGTAAGCGACCATCTTACTGTTATTTCCTTCTGCTTCTTTCCTTTGTTTTTCTGCTATGATTAAACTGGAACAACTTTTTATGGTGAACAGGAAAACTACGGGAAGCCAGATCCAGCAAATGTTGCTAAAGTGAAGATCCTTTATAACGAGCTTAATCTCGAGGTTTGAACTTCGTTTATATTTTTGTAAGAATGTCATACAAAAAAAAGTTAATACGTTTCAATCCATCATGATGTTAATGATTTCCTTTGAATGATTCATTCAAACTTCGAATGTATAGGGTGTATTCACGGAGTATGAAAGTACGAGCTACCAGAAGCTTGTAACCAACATTGAAGCTCATTCCAGCACAGCAGTTCAAGCTGTATTGAAGTCATTTTTGGCTAAAATTTACAAGAGACAGAAGTAGAATCACTGTAAGGCAAAGGTCAGGATTGTTGAAGATGCAATAGAAGCTAGCTAGAGTGGAATTTTCTGTGTGGAGTTGTAGTTTTAAAAAAAATCAAATTTGTTACTGTCTTTTTTTAGGGAGTGATTAATCTTGTTGTACTTTATGTTGTAAACTGCCTTGTGATACTGGTTTTTATCATTAATAAGCTTTTTCCTTCTGAAATTTTTGACTTTTGGTGTTATTTTATTTTATATATTCAGACAGAGACTATGATTTTGTGCTAGTGAAAGAAACAGAAAATCAGTTCTTATTAATTCTCTTTTTTTCTGATGAAAAATTAAACTTCTAACGACTCCAAAATCATATTTATAATTGTTTTTCCCTTTTCACCTTCAACTTGATGTTATTTTAGAGCAATATCTCTCCTACTTCCACACCTACACCTCAAGAAAAAAAACTTTAATCTTAAATTACTTCATGATTTACTATTTCAAAAGTTACTGGTTTGGAACTATTTTTTTGCTGTTATATTCTCGGTAGATAAAATATGTGGAATAGTAACTATTCTAGACTAGGTTAACGCTTAGTCCACAGTCGAGCGGGCCTCAAACCCTTATTGGATTTGGGACCAATAGGACCTCACGGACGGACAGAAGATCCGTCGGGTACATCATCTTCCTCAGTCGGACACAGGCCAACAGTCGTCGGGCAGAACCCTCGTGGTTCTCCAGCTAGTCTCTTTCTCCCCCGTGGCCGCGCAGAGTCCAGCCTGTTCGGAGAGCTCCTCGGACCTCCCATACGTTCTCTACGTGTCCCCTACGTAGGGACACGTCATTAAGTAACTACTCGTGTCCTGAAAATTCAGTCTTCCACCTCACGGATAGCACGAAACAGTTACACTAGGGAGAAGACCACGTGCTGGTCTTCACGACGCCACGTCAGCCCTAGCAGTTATCAACGTTGGGCCTGGTAGCCCAGCCCATCGCGTGGTAACCGTTGGCCCTGCGTCGGGGGCTCATTATAAATACCCTCTTCCACTAAAGGGTCAGGTAACTTAACTTTCTTACTCTTCTCTCTGTGCTTGTTATCACTCTGCTCGTCACTTACTTTGGCATCGGAGTGTGTTTCAGGTACACCCCCCTTCTGTCCATCAAGTCAACAGTTCGACAGCTCAGACGCGTGGTAGCTCAGCGATCTCTCTGGTCAGGTACGATCAGTGGCGCCGTCTGTGGGAACCTAAGCTTCCCCGTTCCTCCGAGCAGAAGAACCAAAGCTTCCTATTTCAAATTTCGAGATCACGACTAGCCCAAGTCACGACGACGCTATCCACAATTCCGCCTTCGCCCCGATCACCAACGGCGACGACCAGTCGGGGACATCTCAAGCCCACGAGACTGACATCAGAGACGGTCAGACTACCTCTCCTTCTTCCGGGGACGCTGCGCATCACGTCGCACCTCGGGTGAGGAGCCCGACGGTCTTCCAACCCGTTCCCACGCCGGCTGGAGCAGACCCGACGATGAATGCTCTCTTCGCAGCCATTAACCAGACAAACCTGATGGTGTTCCAACAGAATGAGCGCATCGGCGCGCTGGAATAGGATACATCGTCCGCTCTCCTCCGCAGAGAAATCAGCGCGGGAACTCTCAGAGCCCCTCTCCACGTCCACGGGGGCGCCGACCACAGCTGGAGAGACCCCAACCTGTGGCCTCTAAGAAACGCGCCAGGTCACCCCCCGGAAGGAGAGGCGCTCCCCGGAGTCAAGGTCGAACAGGCCCGAAGTCCCAGCCAGAAAACCGAGGGGACGTAATCAGCCAACTCGACACGACCCGTCGCCTCCGCACTCCCCTGTCCGCAGTGACGAAGACGGCTATAGGACTCCCCCTGTCACGGGAAATCATGGCAACCCCCATCCCCCACGGGATGGAGAAGCCACCTGTGCTCTCCACGTACGACGGTACCTCGAATCTAGACGATCATCTGGAGGACATCGAGGCGATGCTCGACTACAGGAACGTCCGGGAAGCCATCAAGTGCAGGCTCTTCCCGACAACACTGAGGAAATGGGTCATGGCCTGGTACAAAATCCTAGAGCCCGAGTCCGTCACGTCTTGGAGGGTCCTGAAGGATCTATTTTCACAGCATTTCACGGCATCGAGGCGGAATCCGAAGACGGGGCCCGCCCTGGGCGCAATCATCCAGGCCACGGATGAGCCTCTCAGAAACTACATTGAGAGGCTCACGAGGGAGGCGGTCCAAGTAACTACTTTGCACGATATGAAGCGCTACCTTATGGAGCAAGGCCTACGCCGAGGCTCCAAGTTCTACGAGGCCGTGGCCATCCACCGACCAAACACCCTACAAGACTTCCTCGAGAGAGCCCGCCATTACATCCGGTATGAGGAGACAGAGTCCGCCAAGGCTGCCCGTGAAACCCGCAACCGGGAAACCCCCCGCGGGTCCCAAGAGGAAAAAGCGTCATCCCTCGGCGTGGGGGAGACCGGCGGCGAGAGGATCGTCCCCGAGAACCCCGGGAGCAGAGGGGCCCCGCTGGCCGCTTCACCGAATGCACCGCCCTAGTCGCTTCCCGCGAGCGCATATTGGCCGAGTGCGCCAACTCGGAGTTCGTCCGGAGAGGTGTCCGCTTTCCCAAACCGGCACCCCCCCAAAGCCAACGTGGACAAGTCCAAATACTGCCGCTTCCATCGGGGACACGGGCACGTCACGGAGGACTGCATCCACCTCAAGGACGCGATCGAAATACTCATCAAGGACGGACACTTGAAGAGGTACACCAGGGGAGAAGATGCCCCCTGACAGAAGGCTCCGGAAGCTAAGAGAGTCGACGATATCCCTCCTCCTACCAACGAATTCGGACTACAGGTGGCCCTCTGCATTGATCGACTCGAAGATTGGTTCTCACTGAGGGAACACTGCTTCCCTGCCGGGCTCGATCTACCCGAGGAGCTAGTGCGCCCAATCAACCCGTGGGAATACTTTCCCAAGGCGACGGTCATCTCGGGCAGGACCCCGAGCAAGCTCACGATCGGGTCGGTAAAAAGGAAGTTCGACGAACTGATGAACAACAGCTCCGTAAAAAATATGCATACATGAATAAATAAGCGAGCACACACAAACACTTATGGGAAAAAACGAATTCCATAAAACGGGCACAAGCCCGACTGTCAAAGATTACAATAAAGGGCACGCAACCCGAACAACAACCAAAATCACAAAAGCAGGGCACGCAGGCTGACAAAATGAAAAGAGGCACGCAAGCCGACCAAAGAAAAAGGGGCACGCAGACCGCCATCCCTAATCTAGGTGGTCCTCCTCATCTCTGTCATTGTGGTCCTCGTCCTGGTCATCCGAGCCGTCGGGCGCAACGATCCGACCATCCTAGACCTGATGGTAGGGACCAACCCCGTTGGTCACCAAGTCGAAGCCCGAGTTGACGAGCCTAAGCTGGTCGGCAGCACTCTTGAAACCCACCTCGACGGCTCCCAAGCAGTCCTCCTCCAGGTGACGGATCTTATCCACAAGCTCCCGCCGAGACACCATCAACCGCTCCTCTTCAGACTCCTCCTTGGCGGGGGCGACCATACCCTCGAGCTCAGTAGCACGACCTCTAACTCCCGTCAGCTCATCCTCCCTTTCCTTCAGCGCCTTCTCCAGCTCCCCAGTACGCTCCCAGTGGAGCTTGTCCTATTTTTGGTACTCCTTTTGATCGACCTCCAGCTTACACCGGACCTCCTCGGATACCGCAAGCTCGCTCCTGACAGAAGCCAAATCTTCCGAGGAGCACCCCTCCTTATTCAGCACAAGGACCGTCTTAAAAGCCCTCACCACCGCGGCCAGATCCGCGGACAACATCTTCCTCCGGGCCTCCTTGCCCGCGGCCAAGATACTCCTCACTTCCTCTGAGGCCACCACAGGAGCATTCCCCCCTGAAAATAAATCCGGCCGGAGACAGCAGGGGGCAGAATGAAATTCCGCTCCGGGGACCCATCTGTTAGATCAATATAAGGTACCTCGACCTCCCGTCGCCTCTTGGAGGCCGGCGGTGGCGCCGTGGAGCCACTTCCCTACGGGGATGAAGTCATTCACACAGAACCAACGACCAGCTCCCTCCTAACAGCGACAGTCCTCCCTTGAGGACGACAGTTACCCCTGTTCATCAGCTTGGTCACATGTTCTTCCACGGAGCCCATTATACCTGCAAGAAGAGCACAAGAAAAATAGTTAGCATTAAAAACCAAAAACGAATAATAAGACCAGTCGGGGAGACGCCCAACTACCTAGGAGCCGATGGGCCTCAGCCTCTGTCTGACACTCGAGTAGGGCCTTAGTGTTGATACATCGGGTCTCTATATGTATCTCCCCGTCCGTGTCACGGATATACTCCCCTTCAGGGGACACACACTTCCGAGGAGGAAGACGTCCGACGAAGTCCGTCAGCTTACGGAAGGCCAAACTATCCTCCTCTCCCAGGCGGCTAGGTCGGTAGATAAAACTATCAGTGCTCGAACGAAAGTGCAGGTCTGCCTAATCCAAGGGGAAGTTGGACTCATAAATATCCTCGGATCGCCCGTCCACGACTATCACCTCTCACCGGAAAATGGTCTCGTAGACCTCGTCCGTCGCTGGCATGACCACAAACCATTTGTCTTTGAACCCTCGCACTGAGTCAGTATACGGCCGGAGGATTCTGGTCGGCTGATTCAAAGAGACTCAGTTGTGACAACCAGCCACCATCTGCCGCTGCAGATGGAAGACGCAGAAGAACAACGAAATGGTGGCCCCGAGCTCAAGATAGTCACAAACGATTTCAAAGGCCCGGATGAAGGCGAGAGAGTTTGGATGGAGTTGGGACGGTGCCAGCATCAGGTGGTCGAACATTCCCTGCTAGAAACCCGTGAACGGCAGGCGCATCCCTATCTCCTTGAAAGCAAACTCATACATCGGGAACCGACCACCTTCATACCACGAACATATGTGATCCAACTCCCATGGCTGGC